CCTTATGCAAAGCAAAGAATCACTTGATAAATAAAAATTTGTTTTGATTTTTTACTTAATGGGTGTTTTAAAGTTATAGTTTCATTTAAAAAAAACTATCAAAATTTTAAAGAAAGAATAGTTCTTTGTGATGATAGCTTCTATAAGCCCAGTGAGATAAAAAATTTAGATCTGAGATTTTGAGAGTTTTTTTTATTTTTTAGTAATAAAAACTTAGAGAAATATTCTTGTTCTCATCTGTCCTAGGGATACTAATGGTGAAAGTAATTCAGGCAGCTATTGATCCGAACTCTGAGCCTCCACTCTGCTCCCTTCAGCCTCCCAATTCATACATCTTTTCTCTTTTTTCACAAAGAGGCTGGATAATTCACAGGAAGAAAGCTATAGCATATGTATTGATAAAAAGCTTCCTAGAGATTCTGCAGGCTTGTGTACCTTCTGGTTATCCACATGGGAAGGCAACTGAAGTTCTGTGAAGAACAGGGTCATCACGTGAAGCCCTTTGTCATGGGCAATGCTCACGCAAATTCTATGCAATCATCATTTATAGCACCATAGAAAAAGGTGCTACAGAAAGCTAGGGTTTTAATTCACGAAGAGTTTTTTAAATTAATATTGATGTCACAAATGACAGCTACTCAGAGTTGCTCATGTTCTTTTCTTAGTAGTGTCACAGTGATTTATGATGTGTACAGAATTTTTTTTCTGATTGTCTTAGTTGAATCTCAGGGTTGGTTGCTATTTTTACTTCTCTATGATGATGATAATTTATCCTTGCATTTTTCCTTGAACACACTGAAATTTCTCTTACCAAGCTCATCAAGGACCTCCACATCACCAAACTCATGGCCAGTTCTGAGTCATCACCTGATTTGACTCTCAGTAGTAGATCAGCAGTGAGTCACTCTGTTCTTAAAGAAGTACCCTATTGGCTTTCTAGGAAATTATTATCTCTGAATTCTCCTTCTACGTCTTGGTATTCTGTATCTTCTGACCTAAGTGCATCACAGGAGTTGGTCCTCATCACTTCCCTTTTCCCCCTAATAATCTACTCTTACTAAGTGCTGTCAACTCTCCAGGCAGCTGTAGATGCCATCATTACACAGCTTTATGTAGTTAACACAGAGTTCTCTCTTGAGCTCCAGAATCAACTCTTTAGTTGATATATCTACATGTTTAATAGATTTATCAAAATTTTATATGTATAAATCTATATTCCTGGGGGTTCTTTATGCCCAGTGAGCATAAGAGTTCTACATAGAGTGAAGCTATATGGAATAAAATTATAACCCTTTTAAGGACATTTTTAATATATAATTTTTTACTTTCTCTAGAGAGGAGAAAATTGCTTTTCCACTTTCTTCTACTTCTTTCCAGCACACAGAATATAGTATAAGAAACTTGGAAAGCATCTTAGAAATATCTGAGGAGAAAAATCTATCAGTCCTGTATTAGAATTCTAGAAGAACAGAACCAATAGCAGTGTGTATGTGTGTGTGTGTGTGTGTGTGAGATTAATTATAGAAATGGTCTCATACGATTATGGAGGTTGAGAACTCTCATAGTGTACCATCTGTAAGCTGGAAAACCAGGGAAGCTAGTGGTGTAATTCAGTCTGCGTCTGAAGCTGGGAGAACCAGGGGAGTTAATGATGTAAGTCTCAGGCCAAGTCCCAAGACCTGAGAACTGTGGGGGCTGATAGGATAAGTCCCAGAGTCTAAAGGCCCCGAGAACAGAAGCTTCAATGTATGAAGAAAGGAAAAGACGAATGTTCCTCGAAAGCTCAAGAAGGGAAAATAAAATTTTCCTTCCTCTACCTTTTTGCTCTATTTGGGTCCTCAATGGATTGAATGATGCCCAGCAACACTGGTGAAGGGAATCTTTACTCAGTCTACTAATTCAAATGATAATCTATTCCAGAAACGTTCTCCCAGACACACTCAGAAATAACATTTTACAAGCTATCTAGTCATCTTTCTAGTCAAGTCAACACATAACATTAACCATCACACATTCCTTGCCTGATTGTTCACAGTCTGCTTGAATACCTGCTTATACGCACAGCGGATGTTTGGTTTTCCTATGATAACACTCTTTCCATACACATTTAAGAGAACATGCCTCCTTTCCATCCTATATTCCAGAGCAAATAGAAGGGATGAGAATTGGATCTGTTGCATGAAGTCAAGAAAAAAGAAAGTTCTGTGTCAATTGGACATTTAACCTTCTTGCTGTTGAGCTCACCTACATAGTCCTATGAAAGTTACAGTTTGCCCAGTTAACACACATAAATTTCAATGTGTTTAACTTGGGATGGAGGATCCTTGCTGGCTTTTATTTTTTTCTGGAAACCCTTGTGTATATTTTTCATTTCTATGAGTGATATTAGATTAGCTCAAATTCTACATCTCAAAACTCATAAAAATTATACTTTTCTATTCCCTTATTCTCTGTAGAAGTATTCTAGATCTGTCTATTTTATTATTTGTTTTTTACTTTTTGATCCCCCCATGGCTTCTGCTTTAGTTCAGGCCCTTATCATCTCTTCAGTGGCTGTCAGTAATGTCCTTCTCACTGGTTTCTGTGCTTCCCAAAGGTCTTATTCCAACCACATTTCTACTAGAGTTATCTTTGTAAACACAAATCAGGTTATGTGAATTCACTGCTTAAAACCTATTAATGATTTCCTTTCCCCAATTGGAAGTAAACCTACCTTGATTTCATGGATTTATTGAGTCATATATTCTGACATCTCCTCTTCGCACCAATGTTTCTGTAGTATCAGAATATTTATAGTCCCTGTTCTGACCAAATGTTTTATGCCTCACTTGCTATACACATACATTTTTCCTTCAATACTCTTAAACTCCACTTGCCCCTAGTTATTTGGTATAGTCTAAGTCTATTCAGGCTGCTATAACAAAATACCTTAGACTGGGTAATTTATAAACAACAGAAATTTATATCTTATAGTTATGATGGCTGGGAAGTCCAAAATCAAGGCACCAGCAGATTCAGTGTCTGTTAAAGACCTATTCTTCTTAGATTGTGCCTTCTATATGTCTTCACATGGTAGATGGGGCAAGGAAGCTGCTGCCGCTTGGGCCTCTTTTATAAAGGTGCTAATCCTGTTGATGGAGCAAGGCCCTCATAACCTAATTATCTTTCAAAAGGCCCCACTTGTTAACACTATCACATTGGAAATCAGGTTCTAACACATCAATGCTGGGGGCACAAACATATTCATACTTGAAATTTCAACTTAAATGTCATATATTTTGTAAAGAATTCCCTGACTATCTCCAAATCTGACATATGGCACCCATTCATTCATTTTTAAATGACTATATCTGCTTAATTTCCTTTATTCAACGTAAAGGTATATAATTCCTATATCCATTCATTGTGTAACATGTTTTCTCAGCCATTTATTTTCTTTAGTACTTTTGTGTTCCTGAAAAAAAATGTAACTTTGTTTGTTTCTTTAATTGTGACACATACACACACCTTAACAGAAAGTTTTCTAACTACCATCAAATGCAATACCCAAAGCTATTTTTTTCCTTTCCATACTATCAATTGGCCTGACATGTTAGCCTAGAGGTCTATGATGGAGGCCTTTTTAGGACAAATGGAGATCAAGCCAATCTAGTATGTAGGCTCCCAGAATGGGATTATTGCAAAAGGCTTGAAAGGATGCATAATAATAAGGATGAAAAGAGAATCCACAAAATTTACTGAAGGAATAATGTTTCAGAAATCAATGGGAAGACTCTGGTCCTAATGCTGTTGTTGACTCACCAGAGGACCTTGGGAACACAGAATATAACCTCTCTGCATCTAAATTCTCCCATTAACAAAGTAAAAGGAGTAGAATAGAAGGTTAATAATGCTTGTATAATCTGAAATTGTTTTACTCTATTCTTAAATCGGCAAGTTAAATTATTTGCATTATTGGGGGAAAATGTCAAAAATAATAATCATAACTCCTGTAAAAAACAAATAATTTTAATGGACAAACCCCACTTCAGCAAGTCAAATCGTTTTGGAGTGGGTCAGAGAATAACATTAGTAAAAAATATTAAGCTAAGTTTCACAATATATGCCCCCTTAGATGTATGGGCAGGAAATAGAAGACTTCAAAACATATGCAATATAGTTAAACATCTGACGGATCAAGACAGCTTCATACAAAAGAAGTTATATATATAGATATTGCATTTTAGGTATTATAAGTGATCAGTTTTAACAGTGTGAAAAAGGCTAGGTTCCAGCTCTAACAGTCAGAGAATAAGGCATTCTGATTTTAACTAACAAATGTTTTCATGAAGTCTCCAAGAAGAATACAATTTTAAGAACTAAACAATTTAACCTGAGAAAATATATTGTAGTATTTAAAAGAAGAATATTTTGAAAGCAAGCAAGCATGTTTGCATTTATTAATTATGGTAAAATAAAACTTCAAGAAATTCTAGAAGATATAATGTTATGATCAGGGTATAAAATAGGCTCTGAGTTTATGGATAAAAAACTACCCCTCAGTAAACTTCAGAGCTTTGTCTATTTTATGCAATAGCTTAATTTTTCTTCTGTCTTGCCTCATTAATGAACAACAGAAATATGAGTTATGAGAGTAGCGTTTATAAACAGAGAAATTTACTTGTCTATAAATTGTGTTCTGAAGATGAAAGTAAATGAATATGAATATGGCTTGTTCCTCCAAGTTTGCCACATCATAACAATTGTGTGCAAGGACAGTTATCAAAAATTAATTCCTCTATTAGGAGTGACTGAAGACATCAACCTAAGTAAGCCCTTTTGAGGAGGCACAATTAGGGGAAAAAACCTAACAGGAAAGGCTGGAGGGAGGAATGAATCCAGTCCAGCCTGAAAAAAATCTGCACCAGGTTTGAAAAATCACCCCATCTTCCTGTGTAAGTAAGATGCTAAGAAGCCCAAGGCTTTTTGAATCTAAGTCCCTGTGTTTTCTGTGAAGGAGCTGAAAGTGGGTTGGGACAGAGATGGCACCTGGGGGTTCTGAGGCACTGGCTCCTTTCTGAGACTGACAAGGATCAGAAGCCAGACTGGGACCAGACCACCAGCAATGCAGCAAAGGATGTTCTCTAAATAAGACCATGGCGCGTAAGAAAATTAACTACCTTCTCATCTACCTCAGTTTTTCAGTGCTCATCTACATAAAAAGTAAGCCTTTCCCATTTATTGAACTTTAGGACTTTTCCCGGCTTATTTCTTGCCTACTATGTTTCTTGCAAATGTTGGGTGTTCTCCAAAATACAAAATGCTGAAAAAGAAGTTTATTTTGGTGCAAGCAAGTGTCCTGTGTGAAAGAAATCAGTGATACCAGTCAATGTGAATAGTCAATTTTGTGAATCTATGATTTCCAATAGGTATGTAGGGATAGAAATTTTTTTTCTTAACCTTTTTAGTGGTGAGTAGAGAAATAGTCACATTGAAAAGAAGATATTCTGTTGTGTTTACACTTTAACAAAATAGATATGGCATTTTATAATTGATATCTTTTATCTGTAAGTTATATTGCCTTTTATTCCCACATCCTGGGTATTTATGTTTACTTTTAAAGAACACCGTATCACAACATTTGCTGTCATAATCAAGGAGATAGTTTCAATGTTTTCCAAAGAATAATAGTTCAAAGTATTTCTTTCACCAGAGAAATGGGCTTTTGAATGTGCTCCCTTTTTATAAATGAAGATATTATTTTCCACAAACTCCCCCAGATAGGAACAAGAGCAGTGTTCTTTGGTTAATCTTGCCAGTCCTGCAGCAGTATGGAAAATCAGAGGAGACCAAATGGCCCCAGCTGTGTGTTTATGAAGGACAGTAGCTATTGAACACTTTTAAAATGAAGACTGGGGGAGTGTGCGCTTGTCAGAGGGGCCCTGTGATTTGTGTCTGTTGAATCTGAATATCAATAAGGCAAAGCACTGAGCAGCTGCCGTTGAACAAGATAACTTGGCATTAGTGCACAGAGTTGTGTAATCTGGGTCACCTTCTGTGGCTGCACCAGTGAGATTGTTACTTGGACAGTTTAGAGCTGAACATATATCAGACTGGGTGCAGATAGAAAAAGAGGCTCTGGCTAGGTAGCTGAAGGCAAGTACAGAAAAACCAAGACAAAGTTTAAGCCAATGAATGGTAAAATATCTGATTCCAAAACACGTGCATTCACGCCCCCACACAGAGTTTTTGAGAGTTATATTTATTAAAGAGTTGTTATCTGAATAGTTATTCACCCTCCTTGAAACTTAAAGTGGGCCTCATGCAATGGTAAGTGGGGAAGACAAGTGCTATGCTGAGATGTGTAGGCGAGAGGAGAAAGAAGAGATAAAACAATATAAAATGAAAGATGAAGCGAGTTTATGTACATTTTATAGCAAAGGTTCGTCATTTCAATGCACTGTATGTTTGCAGCAGTTAGCTTTAAAGGAAATTGATATGCAACTTCTAAAGCACACATCTCTTTTTTAAAGGCTATAATAACTATGAAGTGATAATTATATATACATCATTCGTGTTCTTTCTCTTTGAGTGGGTGAGTTTATTTATAGACTAATACTTTGCAATTGTTTGGTTTCTTCTCCAATATAAATTTTTATCAGTTTTAAAAAGGAAATTGGAAGCTTAATTTTATTCAAATTTTATGCTGGTAGAATTTTATCTGTGTCAGTATATTTGCTGTCAGGGTATGAGAATACTGTCTTTCTTCTAGTCAAGGGCTAGACTTTTTTACCTGATCTTAAAACTTGCAGCAATCTGGCATCACCCTTGTCATTCACTCTTAACACCTATTAGTCTTAATATTAAATCCTATCTTCCAGCCAAATGAACATAATAATATCTAACAGTAAATAAGGCTAACGTCAGGTTAAGCATTTGATACATGCTATATTGCATTTAATTCTTACAACAACCCTATAAGATTGTGTTATTATAATCACCCACCGTTTACAGAAGAGGAAACCAAGGCTACCTCTATCCCAGTACATCTCTAACTTCAGTGTGCATCAGAGAACTGGAAGGCTTGTTTAACTGCAGCCTCTCAAGTCTAACCCCAGATATTTAGTGGCTCTGGAGTGGATCTTAGGAACTCACAATTTAACAAACTCTCTGTTTAAAATACCAATGATTGGAAGCCCTGAACTACAAAATATGTCTTTTTTGAGAACCATTATATAATGGTGCTTGGAATACCAAAACAGTTAAATATAAACATTTCCCTCTTTTCAAAAGAATTATTTAGGAGAAAAGGATATGAGCGTATAGATGAGCTCATATCCGATATGAACTTTAAGAGCATTACGTGTACTTGCATTTATACACAGCAGACGTAACCACTGTATCAAATAGAACTGATCACTAAGTCCATTTTACAGCTGAAGAAACTGAGACATGCAGGATTTACTAACTTGCCCAAGGCCATACTGGTAGTGAATGGTGGAACTGGGACTTGATCCCAGCGATCTGGCACTGGAGTCTGTGCCCTTAGCTCACACGTACTGATTTCCGTTAAGTGATAAGGCCAAAGGCACTCCACTCAGAATATAAAACAAAGACATTTCATTTTCATTATCATATCAGTTGAATAAATCAAGGATGACTCCTTTTTCACTTTGAAATATATTCCTTTAAATTTAAAAGAGTCACCTCTACCTCCATACTGTATTTTTTTCTTTTTTCTTTTTTTTTTTTTTTTAATTGAATGGTAACTATGTACATTAATGCACTTCTGGGAGTATTTTTTTCTTAAAACTTCTGCCTTGCTCTGCTCCAGGGGAATGCTGCCTGTGTTGTCTGCCCAGTGTCCTACATCCTTTATGTTCTTCCAGTTGGGGACATGTGACATGATGAATATTAGAGCAGAGTTCAGGAAGTGACATCCACTTTCTGTTCCTGAGCACGTAGAAAATCCCCTTACTTGGAATTGCAATGAATTTGTCCCAAATGTTTTCATGTCTGTTACACAATTTTGCATAACTGGTTCAAATATATGAAATCAATTAAACTTTACTAATTGAAGGAGAGATATTATTTTTTGCTTTTGATATACTAAGAGATACTTTTATTGGAAAGAGACTCTGTTCTGGTTCATTATTCAGAGACTATTTTAAATAATGAGAGCACTTCATGATAAACTCTGTTTGGGACCTTGATATGTGAATCTATTATGAAGGATTTTAAAGAAAACGCCATAGTCAAGCAACTATGAATTAGTAAAGTTATTTATAATTATATTTCACTAGTCTTTTCTAAGTTGGGGGATAAAGGGAATATTTTCGATAGAAATGCCTCATCTAGATTAGAAGCATTTGTTTTAATCCATATTTAAAGCATGGCAATAGCATGTAAAAAATGTGATTTGACAAAACTAATATCAGAGTTAAACAACTTAAATAGTTTGGTATAGCATCCAATATTCTGGAACCCATCAGCAATTATTAAGTCACTGAATTTGAATAAAGTTATTTTGAAGAATATCTCCTTTCTAATCTACATAAAAGTATAAAGAACAAATTGTATCCATAATTTAAAATATACTCTGATTTATTCAATCTTAATGCCATTATTAAGAAATAATTGAGTTTGCTCAGTAGTTCAGAGTAAGTTGATATTATTTATTGTCAGTAATCACACATTCTTCTTTAAAATTCTGCTTGTGGGAAAACATTTAAAACTTTTCTATTTACCATGCAAGTTAACATCCTCACAACAGCACCTTAAGCGCCTACATAACCATAAGTGTGAGGAAAAGGTAAATTTGCTTCTTTGTAAATAAAATAATTATCGACTTAAGCAAAATAGTCTCTACCTCATGAAGGTTACCTAGTGTTCCTTGCATCATAGGTTAGAATTACTTTTAGCTTTTGTCTTCAGATTCTTCTCTTAGGCAAATATGATCATTTCTGGAGAATTGCATCCTTTTTTTTTCCCTCTTCGGTGATTTTCAAAAATTACCATTCATGTAATTTTACATGAATCCCTTTTTACATTTGATGAATCCCCAATTTTACATTTGATCCCTTACAGTATCAAATTCTGAAATTCAAGTGGACAAGAAAAGTTAGAGTTTTTAGTTACATTTTCAATTTTATTGCTCATTTGGCAGGAAACCTCTGAGGCCCCAGGTTTCCCCATTAACAAATGAAAATGAGAGGATAACTTTTCCCCTTTCACAGGATCCTCTGTTCACACCAGGTTAAGGCTTACCGTCCATACTTACATTGTTCTCTGCATTTTTCTACTGTGGTATGTACCACAATTCAAAAACATTATTTGGGGGTTGATTCATTTATGTTTTACCTATGAAATCATAGGACATGGGTGTGTGTGCTAACAGATATATCCCAAGTCTATGGGTAGCTACTACCTTACTCAGGATAGTCACTGAGGAAACAGTTATAAGATGAATAAGTTAATGATGGAATTTTCTTATTTTTTTAAAATTTATTTAGAGACAAGGCTGCACTTTCTTGCCTGGGGTAGAATGCAGTGGTATCATTATAGCTCCCTGCACCTTCGAATACCTACACTCAAATGGTCCTCCTGCCTCAGCCTCATGAGTACTGGGACTACGGACACACACCACTATGACCAGCTAATTTTTGTATTTTTTGTGGAGATGAGTTTTTGCTGTGTTGCTCAGGCTGATCTTGACCTTCTGTCCTCAAGCTACCTTTCTGCATTGGCTTCCCAAAGTACTAGGATTACAGGTGTGATCCAGCACTCCTGGCTAATGATGGAATTTTTATAGCACTTGTAATAAGAATCTGTCTTTACAATGACACTTTTGAATTAATTTTAATCCTTACATTATTTAACTTTTAATAATATGCTTCATTATTTTAGAAAAGTTTTAGACTTACAGAAAAAGTGAGAATCTGATACAGAGGGATCCCTTATACCCATACCCATTTGCCCTTATTACTGACATCTTAACATTACTATGGTAGGTTTGTGACAAATTAATGAACCAATATTGATACATTGTTAATAACCAAAGCTTATAGTTCATTTAGATTTCCTTATATTTTTTCCTATTCACATATCCCATCTAGGATACCACAGTATATTTGGCTATTGTATTTCCATATGCTCCTCTTGGCTGTGGCAGTTCCTTAAGCCTTCTTTGTTTTTAATGACCTTGACAGTTTTGTAGTGTACTG